GGGAAAGAAGAGAACTTCCGAATGATGCAGTAACAGGAGAGCTGAGGATACAGGAAGGGAGCACAGCCAAAGCTAGTGAAATCTGTGAGCAGCTTCAGTGTGAATGCATTTATGTATATGTCTGACCACAGGGAGCAAGGGAATGCAGAATCTCCTGGAATTACAAGTAAGTTCTGGGTCCCAACACGAAGATGGAAAGGACCTCTTAGGCAAAGGTGAAAGACACCATGTCACAAAGGCATTGGAGCACAGAGCATATATCTGCATTCACAGTGATGTCCTGGCTCAATCCTGGTTATCAAAGCCAGGCTCTCCCTATAGCTAATGCACAAGCACGTGTTCAAGTGCTTGCCCCTTCAGCATGGGGCAAGCTCTCCTCCGGCCAGTCTTGCACACACGGAGGAACGAGGGAGCTACAACCCAGTTGACTGGCAGATATTCCAGGCTCGGCTCTCCCTAAGCACTATGCAAAAGCTCTAACACCTCAGATGATACAAATAAGTTGCTAGCTGGCAATGCATACAAAAAGCACATGGTCACAGGAATCAGTATCAATAAACCTGTTAAGTTTTTAACCTTGTAGTTCAGCCAAGGTCAGAACTGGTCAAGCCTGGATATTTTCTTTTTGAACTTCAAAGTGTGGAGTCCTGGTTTGGGAGTGTTCAGTGGAAGCAGAGGGATTCTGTGATTCACAGTGAGGGGCAGAAAGAAAGTGATGTTTCAGGAATGTTATGTTCCTTTGCCACTTAACTCCCATTTAAAACAAAGAGTATAAGAAAATCTGACCCACAGGTATGCACTAGTCAAAAAGGTGGCTTGGTAAACAGCAGGCAAGTAAAGCAGGCAAAGAAGCCTGGACAATATAATTTATCACACAGATTCGCAATCTTTCACATGAATTTCATCACTGTTGGCATGACAGAGAGATTTGATTAGATACAAAATACAGAGAGAGACATAGTGTAAATTCTCATAAGCTAGAAAAATTGGAGCATTTCAAATTAATTACCTTTTCTCCACCAGACAGCTGTAAAAGGGTTAAGTTAAAGTGGAAGCTGTATTGATCAAATCACATCTACGTGTGACAGGGATTGATCTGAGCTGCATCACTAAGCTCTGCTGCTGACCAAAATGATTAGAACTGAAAAATGTGGTATACAGCATAAAAATCCAATTTAATGCCTTCTGAGCTTACTTGAGCCTGGCTAATGTTCCATCAAATCAGAGTAGCTGAGGGCTAAACTGGGTTAGGTTCATATCTATTCCATGTATCTATTTATATTCTGTACCCAGATACATAGATGCTGTTCATATAAAAATATCTCTTTACATACTGCTGTGTGAGAAACACAATAAACTTTAAATGGGTGAAAATTAGCTTTTTTGTCCAATTTTAAAATCATATATGTGTGCACATAATAGAAATAAAGAAGGGATTCAGTATTCAAGGTGAAATAGCATGGATTGTCAAAGGCAGGCCAAGGCGACGGTCCCATCTCAGGCATGTCGCACACCACGGTACTTCCTGGATCACCGTTAATATTTTGGTGAGGACATCAGACTGCAACACAGCAGTTGTGAACTCAAGTCCGTGGATGTGCCTGTGTGACCTTGGATGTGGGGTTCAGCCTTCTGAGAGCTAATCCAACTGGAATCGGTCCCTCTATTATCCAGTTGCTCTTGCATTCATATACCACAAAGCTTATCTAAAGCTTTGAACTGGTAAACATCATACATTGGGCTAAATGCAAATACAAACACAGTTTGTTTAGTCAGATTGCTCATATGTTTGGAAAGAAACAGAAATATAAGTCTTTATGTTTTTATGAGGACCTGAGCATCTCACTTTGCTGCAAACAACTTGGCTTGATTTTGTTGGGCAGGAACATGGCATTTCCAGCCTTTGCTCTAAGTGATTATACCAAAGCATCCTCACGGGAAAAGCAAAGAATCTTATTACATTTTAGTACCTGTATTGTGAAGGGTGTGAGTTTCTTTTTGTTGATTGTTCTCTCATCAATGGTATCTGGCACTGAAAAGTTGATCATCTTACTGGAAATAAAAGAAAAAAACCAACAAGAAATACACTACTAGCTATGTGTGCACAAAATACAATATAGCTTTTGTCACTACACTGTAGGACAAGTCAAAGAGCTGGAGAGTTACTGAACAAATATAGACAGCCTCTGTTTTTACACATACACACTTGGGCACACATGCAATACTTGAGCAATTCTTTTGGGCCACATGCAGATTGTACTATAGGTGTGAGGCCAAGAATGCCACAAGGTGAAGTTGTGTGAGAAGTTTATTGTGCAGAAAATTTCTGTGAAACACTCACTATCTCATGCTGCTTCATGTGAACTCCTAAAAGTCCTTGGACAAAAATAAAACCAACTCACTCCTCAGATGTCACTGGCTTCATCTTATTACAAGGATCCAGAGGCAAAGAAAAACTCTCATTTAACATGAAAGAAACTTTATATTTTTAAAGAGAAAAGAAGCAAAAAAACTAGCAATCTTAAAGCCCTGAATCTGCAAAGATTCATGAGCTTAAGGTCAAGTCAGCAGCTTCCATTTAAGCAGAGGTGTGAGCTTCTGCAGACTCATGGTTCCCATTTGTGAGAAAGATAGGTATTAGTTACCATAGCACTATGCCATCACCGACCGCCTGGAAGAGGTCATCTGTTTCTGGATTCATTGGGACCACGTGTTTACAGTCAGGGTCCTTCTCAAGAGCTTTATTAATCCAGTTGACAAAGGCATACTTTTCTTCCTCTGTGGACACAACATCAAAGCCATCAGTTTGTTGTGCAATACCACTACCGTCATTTTACTTACAAAGGCAGAACTCCTGGGGGAGAAGACTCTCCCATCAGCATGACTGATCAATGAACCCCTACAAGGGAAGAAGGCTCTGAGGAGACAGGCAAATGAGCTGAAGATAGCAATGGGCTTGAGCTGGTTACTACGCCTTCTATACTCCTTCCCACTGACTGGGGTTGCCCAGTGTCATGAGGGTGGACATATTATAGAGACTGGTAATGAAGTTCATGTGATTCAACTACATGTTGCAGTTGCTGTGCTCTGCTAAGCGTAATTCGTACTTGCACCGTAATTTGAATGCATTGTTGTACTGCTCTGCTAAATCAAAATCCCATGTAAGTTCAAATAAGTGAATTCTGTATTTAATTAATTTAATTATTTAATTAATTTAATTATTTAATTAATTTAATTATTTAATGCCTTCTTTAGAAAAAGGTCAGGAACCATTTGGTTACAGGTGAGTTTACAGAGAGACTACCAGGGAACTGGTAAAATGTACAAGGAAATGGGTAACAGCGGGGAACCCCTGCCTTGCCTGGCCCGTAAGCAGAGACAGCAGCGGGCCAGTCTTTGTGCTGCTGCAGCTGTGCCAGGAGGCTGTTCTCCAGCAGAGCTGCAATGCCTTTATAGTAAGGGAAGCTAAGCTGGTTGGAGCTTCCTTCCATAGCCACAGCTCTGTCCACCCCGGTAAACCGGCTCACGCTATTTTTGACAAAGACCCTGCTGCCGTGCTTTGTCACCTTCACAACTCTGTGCCTTGCACCAGCCTCGCCTGAAGAGCCACCAAAGCTCACCGAGGCCAGAGCACCTGTGTTTTTGTATCAACATAAGGTGCAGATGATATCCAAGGGCACACTTGGTCCTAGTTGCTATCAGTACAGGACAGCTGTACCTACCTGAGTAAGAGTGTTGTGTGCCAGCACTGGACTGCTCAGATGTCCCGCCGATAGCACAGATCCCCTCCTTTTTGTTGATTTGTTTTCGGAATGACTTAGCAACGTCATCACTCTTCAGGTTTTGGAAAATCTTTCAAGTACAAGAGGCAATTTTAAAATTTTGGAGAATTAAACCAAGCTAAAACGGTGAGGTCTTGGGCCAGGAGACACGTCCTCTCTGCTTCATACATAGGGAAGCACAGTTTTCATATTATTCAGTAGGTTTTTGTGTAAAATCTGTGTATCTGCTGTGGTAGAACAGGATCATACACAGCTTTTATGTTTTCAAAGCAGCGAACAAAGATCACCTAAGTAACAGAAACATACATGGTATGAAACCACGGAGCTAAGATGTGCAGGAGGAGGGCCTTTAACAGTTTCAGTTTGAAGAAAGGATAAGTAAAATTCTGTTTCTCCATCCCAAGGGAAATTCCACTATTTTAGCATTTGCTTTTGTCCCAGTTCAGACCAGAAAAAGAAGTTTTTTAATAGAAAAAAATGCCACATAAAGTTTTCAGTTTCCATCTGCTGAATTTTTTCATAACCATCTAGCTAGAACATAATATTTTTGCAACTTATAACTGAAAAACTTCATCCAGCTGCATCAACCAAACTGAAAGATATAAAGTCTGTTCAATACACAGCTGTATTCATGTAACTTGTCCCAGTTAATTGCAGGATTTCTCATTCAGTTACCTCCTGCTCTCATCTTTTCCAGTGAGGGGACTCCTTGGAATAACTAGGTGCCCATGAGACCTTGTGGTTGTGCCTGTGCTGTGCCCTGGGGACCACCTTGAGTATCCCGCCTGGCATCTTACATATACTAAATAAATAACATCTTACTTACTGAAATAAATTCATCAAAACTGATCCTGCCATCGCCCGTGGTTGTCAAATTCTGAATGAGTTCTCTGGCTTTATATCCTGGGAGAGGGAGATTGGCTGCCTTCAACACATCTGTTAAATCGTTGGTGTGGATGAAGCCGTTCCCACTGATATCTGCAAGGATTAAAGCAATCACTTAGGTTCTACATCAGTCTAATGAAATTTTATGCATACAAAGGCTGTTGGTTTTATTTTACCTCGGGAAGTGTACATTATATATAAAGATTTGTTATCCCGAAATCCAATGTTTTCAACCACAGCAGTGTCATTTGCACCCAAGAAAAAATTACAATCACCATTTAACAAACAAAAACTCACAGTGATTAATTCATATGTTTTAGACATAGAGTAATATCTTAACAAAGCTAGGTTTAGATGGATGTAATTGACTTTCCAAGGTTTACATACAGACAAACATTTAAGTGATTTATAGAGGGAGTATCCTGTCTACAGAACAGCTAAAGAAAATGGAGTTGACGCAAGACAGAGTTACACCTTACACGTGCATATATTCATAGATATAACTTGTGATTCTGGCCTGTTTTCTGCATCTAATATGATCAGAAGTCATGAGTTTAGAGACTTGGAACTGCATGCGGTCATCCTTAAAATAAAAACTTGGGTGTTTCTCTGTGATGCTGCTAGCACAGCTAGTCCTGCTGAGCCTGTTACAATGTCCAGGGCCAGATTTTATAAGAAGATCACCAATACGGGTTAAATAGTCCGTTCTTCTCTACCAGTTTGTGAAAATCTCCACAAATAAAGAAGGAAAATTATTCTATTGCATGGAGAGTTTCTGTTAAAACACTATCGTTATGCACATAGTTATACAGTTATAGATGGTTGTATATTTATATTTGGTTTTTATATATCTGTGTGTTTCTTGCTCTGCAGGCTCTTCTTCCCCAGCCCAGAGGCCGAGGTGATTTCAAAGAAGCATGTGCCGATTTCCTGCATGGGAAGCTGCAATGTGAATCACTTGTTGCACGCAGCAAAAAGGCACTTGGCTCTGAGCATCAGTAGCACAGGGTAATACAGATGGCAAAGAGCATCCTATCCATTTCTGAAGTCACACAACAAAAGGATCTGCACTTGGAGAGGGAAATGTCTGGGAGAGGAATGAGAGCTTCCTTCCAGCATTTGCCTTGTCAGTGCATGGGGTGCACTGGGCACACACAGTGACCAGATGTTTAAGATTGCCAGCCTGGACTAGTCTGTGTGCAGAAATCAGATGATCATCACCTGAAGCAGTAAGAAAAACTGATTAACACATAATCCAGCGAGGCTGACAGATCTGCAAAGAAAAGTTAAGTGAGCTGTGAGAAACACAAGGATTTTTCTTAGAATTTGGGTAGACAGTGATGGATCTGCGTGACTTTAAAGGAGACAAATCAGATGAGACCTTTAAAGGCTTGGAAAGGAAACACACAGTTTTAAGATATATAGGGCTTGAAAGGTCATAGAAAAGAGATTACAAATTTTGTAGCCATTTCCACATTTGTCCTCTCCAGACTCCTCCTCCTCAGAGGTAGTACTCAGTTTCCATTAAAATAAAACCTTTTTGCCTTCCAAATAATTTGCCAGGAATAAACAGTATTCTTAGAAAAACACTTGAGAGTATTTCCAGTATGGTTTTCTGTACAGTTTTTGAGGTTATTTCGTAAACCCTGCTGCTCATTGCCCTACCATCTCTCTCTGGTAAGAGGTCATTGCTCTGCAGCCTGCTGATGTGGTTTCATCTAGGCAGTCTGCAGCAGGAGGAAAAGAGCTTTCTGTGGTTTCTGTGACATGGTAGATCAGCGCTGGAGTAAGCTCCATCTCCTCACGGCTGGACAGTGAGAAAAGAGCCTGCCACGGCTTCACACTTTTGCAGCGTCTTTCCTGTTTGCTGTACTAACCGACTTTGCTGAAAGCCTCTCGTAGCTCTGCCATCTCCTCCTCCGAGAAGTGTGCTGTCGACGCCATTTCTTAGTTCTCCGAGCGGCAGGTCTGCAAGAAGAAAGCACTTGTTTTTATTTGGTGCCTTTTTGGGTTTGCAATCGTGATGAAAAAGGGAGTTTTCACTTGGATTTTCAAAGTCTTGGAGCAGTTCCCCATAGCTGAAAACCCAGTTCCTCTCTGCATCCCAAAATCAAGTGAAGGGGTAAAATCCTGTGTACATGAGATACAAATCCAGGTCCCTCCTGTTGTTTTGCCCAGCCCTGCTCAAAATCCCAACAGTTTTATTTATACTAATTTAACTGGAATTAAATCCCATCTTTGATAACTTTTGCTTCTCATGGAGAAAGCAGACAAAATTGTGCTGGTTCTTGTTATTCCCCCTTTAGAAACACAGTTCACCACGTGCTTCTTCAGCAGCACCGGCAGAGAAGCAGCAGCCCTGTCTGCTCCCGGGGGTCTGGGTTGGAGCCAGAGCCCCGGGGGATATTTGCACTGCCTACCTCTGGGTACCTAATGAGGAGGCTGGTCACCCTTATGGGGTGGATGGATGGAGAGAAGCTCCTTCACAGGGTGTTCAAAGCACCAGGTTGGGCTCCCCAGAGGGCTACTTCTCTTCCTGGCTATGAGGAGAGCTTAGGGACTTGCCCCCCAAGGTACCTAAGTTAGTGCCTGAGGTTGGGTGGCACTTTAGGAATGGGTGGCTGGAAGGAGTTTTCCTGCCTTTCCTCTCATCAAAGACATAAAGCAGGAGGAAGGATTAGACTTGCCCTTTGTAGGCACCTTTCTTAATCAGAAAGGGAAAGTTTACTTCTGTTTGTCACATCATTTAATACACTGCCAGAAGATGCACATTATACCCCTCTGCTTTTTCATGCACCTACTGTCCCTTGCATCTATTCATGAGGAAACTGTTCAGGAGAAAGACTATCTATTATTTTATATTTGTGAGAATGACTCTAGTGTCCTATACCTCTTTAAGTATTAATTAACCAAGCAACTATTTAAATAGAATAGAATGGAAACCTGAGTTGATCCTGGAAAGTGGTTGCTATAGCTACAGTGTTCAAATGAGGAAAAAAAAATCAGAAATTCCTCATTCCCAGACTAAAACCAACACTGTACCCTGGAGGCTTGGATTCCAAACTTTATAGAAAGATACACAGGGATAATTTTAAAAATTATGGATTTGCTATAGCTCTCTGCAAAGACAGAGAGTTGTGTACAGCCTGTCTGGGCTTCGGATTTAATGCTCTCCTGAACTCATGCATTGATTCCTTGTATCTGTGAGAACCACTCTGGACATGGCTGTGAAATAGCCCAAAGGCAATCTCATGTGGTTGGCTTTTTGTCTGCTGTCTCCCTGTAGTATCATGCACCCTTTATCTGCCTCATCACTGTGACTTTAGGGTGAGGACAGCTTCCAGAGAAAAATCTGTTCATTCACTCCTACCTTCATAAGCAGAGAAATGCAGCATAATCCATCATAATGCAGTCACCCCCGGGGCACAAGAACCCATGTGCAGTTTTCAGCACGACGGAGCTGGTGATTGCTACTGAAATACTAATATAATATTAAAAGTGGTTCTAACGACCTTCCTTTCAAGGATTACCTGTAAAAATCCCTGTGATCCACTAGCAATGTGGGTTAGATATACTAGAGTCAAATTAGATCCATAGTCTTTCTCCTTCATCCTGGCATCTTTCCTGCCTCTGATTCTTCACTAGCAATCTTTTTCTGTTGCATGCTGTGTGGTTTTGCAACATGTGGATTACCTAAAATGCACCTGGACACATGAAAACCTTACACTATCAGCAAGAAAATCCATATTCCACTGCAAGATCAACCCTTCCAGTCCAGGCATTTCATCAAGCAATATAATTTGCAACACAACTTTTAACAGCATTAAGACTGTTCTAGAGCTTAACAGATGAGAAACACCACAGGTTGTTGCCTGTAACATTACTTTTGCAAAGAATTTTATAACCTCGAGAAAAAATTATCACCAACATACACTGGACTTTACTGGATTGCATATGAAGTTGTGGCCTCTGATCTGTAGCTAACTAACTGATCTGTTAAATACAGAGAATCCTATTAATAGTACATACATTTACACATATACTAATAATACATAATAGGATGAAGGTTTTTGCTGTAATTAACCCTTCTGACATATCTCTCAGGTCAATATTACCCACTCTTTTGTAAAGCTTAACCAAGAAATCAGATGAATCTCTGTACTGAGTGTGAGAACTGGTCCTCGATCACCCAAGGAGTAGTTGTACTCGGGCGATGGAGTTATCGTCACTGCCCACTCAAACACACAACTGAGTTTCTTCTGCATTTTCAGTCCCTTGGTATCTCTTGATTTCAGCCTGTCAGCTGCAGCCAGAAGCCCTCTGCAAAGTGCACGAAAGCCCTGAAGTTTACATGCAAATAATCATACCCAGAATATTCAGATTGAAGTTTTCAGAGTTATTCACAGTTAAAAATCACTGTCATTTCTGAAAATGTTCAAGTAGTAAAACACAAAATAGGGAAATCAAGAGAGTAAAAGTCCAACGCTTTAGCAACACACAGCAAAAAGGAGCAAATCCACTTCTTAAAAGCTACTTTTCAGTATATAAACGGACTATTTTGCTTAGATCATCAAAAGTAAATGATGATATTTAGGCACACAGAAATGTAAAATGCATCTGGACGATGGTGTGGGAGGTCAGATCCAATATTTTCCTTCTGATTTTATCAATCAAGAGCAGAGTCATTTGCTTCTAGGGGTCAAACACTTCCAGCATTTCACTATTCTCAATGAAAAGTGAAAATACCCCAGGCAGCCCATCAAGAGGGCATCCAACAACCCTAGGTGAATGATTCAGTTACTGATAATCCACAAGGCATTGTAAGCATATAGTGCACTGCTCTGCTCCAAACCATTTGTAAAATGAGTATGACAAGACAGATGGAGAGAAAAAAATGCAGCAATATATATGTATAACAGCAAAGGAGAATATGTGGCAATATGAACAAGTTGGAAGAGCTTCTTTGAAGGGAATAGCTGTTGAGGAGCTGAGGGAGGAGCAAAGGGAAAATCAGCTGATGAGAACCAGGCGACAGCTTTGAGCACGGAGATGTATGGCAAGAAGCAAAAAGAAAAGCTGGGCAGGAGAGGGGCATGGCAAGAGGGAGGGGAGTTTGAGAAGGAAGGAATGCAAACAGAAGCTTAGCTATCAGCAGAAATGAGATTTTGAAGGTCAGCAGCAGGTGGGAGGAAGGATCCTGGACCTGGTGTGATTGAAGATCAGTGAAAGAATTGAAGTTCCTTAGAGAGAACAAGATGAAAGTCAACACATGCTCAGATGTGGAGGCAGGACGCCGAGGAGGGGAAGACAGCTCCATAGGTCAGAGCAAGAAAGACAGTGGAACTACCAACAAGAAAGAAATGGAAGGTAATAAAAATTCAGAAGGAAAACAAAACACTCCTTGAGACAGACTGAGCTTCAGATGGCATCAGGACATCTGGATTACACGTTGCCGGGGAGTCACACTTCGTTCTTGCTTGCCAAACAGCATAAACCCGCTATTGCAAAAGCGAAAATAAAGTTGTGCAAATACATTCCTTCCTCCCCAGAAGACTGTTGAGTTACAGGTTAATGCAAAAAAGAGAAAATGGTCTTACCTAAACTGCTGAGAATTGTAACAAACTGATATTCAAAGCATTCCCTTTCCTGCTGTCATTTCCAAACCAATACATTACAGCCATGCTGTAGAGCCTCCTTTTATTTGACTTTATCCTCAGAACAACCTACCATCACACTGATGCTTTAAGAGACCTAATAACAAACTATTTTCACTCTGGCATATAACAGAAGAACTAAATCTCAAACTTGAACGTTACTGCTGAATTGAAACACAACGATATTGATGTTCTTTCATCTCTTTCAATTTTGAAGCTGTAGTCTGAGAAGCTGCCTGGTTGCGTATTACTTGGCAAAGTGTGCACCCACCATGCAATATAAATAATAAACGGCAAAGCCATTAAAACCTAAAGGTTTCCATGACTTGTATTAAATGGTTACCTTGTTTTGTATTTTCCTCCACTTCTTTGGTGTTTAAGCTTTACTGCAGGCGAGGCAATGAAAACCTCAGAGATGTGAAACCACATTTTACAGCTAGACATAAAGTTGCACCTTTCCCCAAAGCAAAAAAGCAAATTTCATGAGGCAACATTACATTTCACAAACACATATTTAAGTCATCAGGAATGACTTAATTTGGTGCCAAGAAAGTTGAATAAATTACTGATATTTACTCACTTTCTGCCACCAGGGCTTTGTTAATGCGCTAGTACTTTGCTAGCAATACAATAACCCCTCTAAGCTGTTGGAGAGTGATCAGATAAAGGATTGCACGTAGGTTCCCTGTCATATAAACTTCCCTATTTCTTCTGCCATCTTCTTGTCAAAAACTTGCTTATTTTTTCTGAAAGCGATGAAACAACAGACATTCACTGTTGCAAAATGCAGCTGTTGTTAGAATTGCATGGGGCAGCGTAAGAGTGTGTCCCCCTCTGCACACAAACCTCTACCTTTTACTTTATCAGAGCTCACAGCTCCAGTTCCTTTTCTTTTCTCTTTCTTGTCTCATCCACAAATTCAATTTCCAAGTGTCAGGCATTCCATGAGGGTTGGGGAATACTTCCTCAGCTCTTTTCTGCATTAGCCTTTCTTTCCCAGCCAATTTCCAAGAGGCACCACCAGCAATCCTCCCCCAGTGTACAGCCCACGCTGGAGAGTGCCGCCAGCAGGCAGGAATAAGAGAAGTGGCCCCAGAATTGTGCAGAAACTCTTGTGACAGATCTGAAACGTCTTGTAGGCCAGAAAAATATAAGGGAAAAAGGAGGATCTTGAGCATATTTGACCTTTGTCCCATACTTCTTGCACCTTTGTGGCCCTCCTCATTCCTGGTCACTCATGAGAATATCCCTGATAGGATATTCGTCCCCATAAATATTTCCCTCTACCTTTCTCTCATAAGGTCCCACACAT